TAATATGGTATATGATACACACACACACACACGTAATATAGGAGAATGCAGTTACCTTTAGCCATGGCTGTCCTGTGGCGCGCAGTGCTTTCTTTGGTAACTGCAGGGTGACGTATGGTGCAGCCTTACCGTGGTACTTGGTACTGGCTGGGTCACCAGTAATAATAAAATTTACCCCCATTTCATTTCCTATGGGCAAAAGGGGGAGGCGGTGAAGCGCCGCTTGCCCGGCGATGTGCCGCCCCTCCAGCAGGCTATGTTTCTAATTGAATTGCGTCCGTCCTCAAAACTCACAGATCCGATGACTGAGAATCCTAGGATTTCCATTGGAGTGTTTGTCTAACATCTAACCAAAACGACGCAGTCTTGGGCTTGGGTTTCTTTTTAAAAACAAAGGGATTTAAAAAGTTACTCTATCTAGTGCTGTAAATGGATAACTGAAAATTCGATTGCCGTCCACATCCGTACCTAGAGATGTGCATTATTCGGTCCAAATCCGGACCGACCCGAAGACCGGCCAAAACCGGTCCAGACCGGTCCTAATTCGGTCCCGTCTTCGGTCCATCAATTTTCGTTATCCGGGTTCCGGTCCGGTCCAAACCAAACCCGGTGAGACCGGTGGACCAGTTATATCATTAATGTGGGTTTATATTTATATGGGCTTTACTCTTTAGGGCTTAATTTATTTATCATCAATACCCATTACCCCCAAATAATCCAGCCCGGTAGGCAGTAGCAAATCCACTTATCAGTTATCCACATACGGTTTTCAAGGTTCTCACTTCTCAATTGCTATTTCGCCATTGCCGCCTTCGCCAATTCGCAGAAGAAAACTCCGTCTGCAGCAGCGGCACCGCAGGGGGTTCTCAACTCCGTCCGCAGCGCCGCAGGATTCCGCCCCAGCAGTCGTCCACTCCGTCCGCACTCCGCAGGTACGCAATCTCAACTCTCCGACAGATCCCAGGTTCTCAATTCGCCGATGGAGTTTATTGTTGTTCTAAATTTTATTAAACTTTTTTGAACCTGCCATTCTCCCACTTGCAAATCTTCAAAGTTTCAATTAAATGCCAATATGCCAGATTTCTCCCCCTTATTCGGTCCTTATTTGGGCCGGGCCGGTCCAATTTTTTTCGGTCTGGTCTCGGTCCGGTCTTACACTCTATCAGTTTGGTCCACGGTCCATTAGTTTGCCCTTATTCGGTCCCGGTCTGGTCCCGGTCCGGTCCGGTCCGGATTTGGACCTATGCACAGCCCTATACAGAAAATATCCCCTAATTTTTCTTTGCTGTTGGGAGGTTTGTCTGTGTTGGGAAATTTGATTAATTAATCAAAAGAAAAAAAAAGAAAGAAGAGAAAAATCAAAAAGAAAAAAAAAGGATCCCGACAAAGGGAAAGCAAAAGTACTCCATGAGTGGAGTCAAAAGGGTGGAAGTATGCATGTGATTATGTTCTCTCCCGTAGCAAATTGATTGGGGCAAATAATTGTGTTCTCCTTGTCCTTTAAAATGGAGAGGCTACGGTGTATTTGTGTGTGTGGTTTTTACACACCACTAATGTAGAGAGAGAAGCATGGGAGAAATTCTACACAAGAATACCACCGGGAAAATCCAATGGGTCTTGGTGAGTGTGGATGAGTGTAGGGAGTAAATGGTTTTAGCTACACGGAAAAATACATCCGGGCAAAGGATGTGAAAGATCTGTTTATGAGTGTCTGAAATTTAGCCTTATAAACAGGAGAAAGTTTTTTGTATATTGTCCTGAAATAGTAGAAATATAATTTTTTTCTCTCATATATTTTTCTTGTGTTTGTTCTCTCATTTTTCTGGTGTTCTCAATATTTTTCGGTATCTTACGCGCTTAAAACCCCCCAACA